TCTAAATATAATAAGTCTAATTAAAGAGAAATTCTCATTATCAGTACCTGTAAATTACTTGGAATTATGGCAACACATAAATTTTACGAGTAATTTTTTTCTTCTTGTTTTGAATCTTTGAATAACTTATTTCACGAAGAACAATTAACGTTTTCAAAATTTTATGAAATGAAAAACTACAAATCTTCTGAGCTCAGATATTCTCGCACAATATCTAACATTCTGGTCATTCACTTGTCCTTACACAATGATTTCCAAAACTTCTTAAAAATAAAATAATAGATGGTCATGATGGCAAAAAACAACAACAACTGCAGTTGATATAGTTAACTACAAGATAGTCCATCACATATCGATACACTCATAGAGTGAGACTACTTACCACTACCAGACATTAAAATAAAGTTAATATTTTACAACGAAATCGATTTAAAAAAGTCAAAAGAAGTTTGAAATGTGGTATGCGAGAAGAAATAATAGTGTTTTTCTGTTTGTTTGTTTTTACTTTTAAGAACTATGAGATGTACCCATCGCAGGGATTAAACACCGAATTTTAGCGTTATTAATTTTCAGATCTACCGCTGAGAGTAACCAAGTTGCTTTCAAACTAACTATATTCCTCATGAACAACGTGAAAATAAACAGTTTCTTATTAATGTGTAATTTCTTTGTTTCTTTGTCATCGTCATACACTAAGATACATGATCTGTTTAACATTATCATGATTATGGGTAAGAAATTACAATGTGAGGCCAGTAGAACTAAAGAAAAAGGCTGGTAGCGCAAGTAAAACTACTTTCGTGCACTGATGCAACTGAAACTTTGATATGGGTGTTTACTTTTAAGCTTTCCGTAATTAATTAAGAATAACGAACAATATTCATGTATGAATAGAAATTTAGCAAGTCCTCTGTCCGTTTAAAATACGTATGTATTCAGGTTATCGTTCTCTGCGTATTTTATGGATACGATTTACTGAGCTTACCTTTTACGGGCATTGACCTCAGCTTCACGAGGCATACAGATAGAAAGGTTGATGGTTGAATTTTATTTGGATCGTACCAAAAGAAGGAAATTTACTTACGAAGACCAGTTACTGTAAAACAGTTGGTAAATGGCATATTATCCACACACCCTTCAATCTCATTATGTACATGTATGCACACCGACCCCTCCAATGTGAAGCAGTCGCTGTGACGTCATTATCCTTCGCGGAGTATCTGGTGTCAACTGATGGGGACCACCATTCCAGTTCCAATTGCAGGCATAAACAAAATAAACCTGTTTTGCACGTTATCTCTGTGCGAGAAATTCCATAAATATGATTTGGCAACACAGGCTATGATTGACACGGGAAAGAGGAAAATACAACTAAAAATGAATACCCCTCATGTATAACTTTCTCGACGTGTAGGCTTAGTTGAAGTATTACATCCTATCTCACCTAATAATATTCAAACAACTGTAATACAGCGTTTTTTTTGTACGTAAGCTAGTCCTAGCAGTCTGCAGAGTTATACAAATATATTGACACACTCGCATTCAAACATGTGCTCGCTCAAAGTAGCTCGCGTTTCTAAAATATTGATAACGAAATATACATAACTGTTTTACAAGTTTTTAATGAGATTTTGTATATTAGAAGCCCACTGACTTTTTGAGTTGTTTTTCTTCATACAAAGACTGTCAAAGAGAGGCATTGCATGGCAGTGCCGGCTTGAGGTCAGACGAGTGGGATATCACATTTCCAAAGTGATTCATTTTTGATACATATTGCTTTTACTTTGAGGAAATGCTTAACGTTGGTTAATTTTAGACCATTGCATATACTATAGTCTGTTTGTGTTCTACACAGGAAAAATAGCTGTACGATTTAGTTTACTGTTAATCAATTTAAAAACGTCTATAAACGAAAATGTACTTGATTAAATAATTTCCCTATCATCCCTAAGTAACGCAAAAAGTTTTAGCAAGTACGAAGAATCACATGATTTCGTTGATGGAAACTTTTTTCTTTCTTTTTTTTGAAGGTTACTGATGGAATTAAAGTCCAGATTCCATGAAAGTCACAGAATGGTTTCAATTCCTTTTAAAAAATAAAATTATACTAAATAAATGTTATTTCTAGAATTAGAGATTATTACAGTATTATGTTTCTACTAGGATCTTTAGTACATGAACTATCTTGTTCAATGAGAGTACTTGTTTCGGGATTACCGTATTTTTACGGTC